ATCTAACAGTTTTCTGACCAATCTGGTATCAGTCTCAATATATCTAAGTGAGCAGAGTGCATTTTCAGTCTTTCTCGCTCCTCGTTTCCAACGGACTCTGCTATTATTAACGATAAACCTGTATCTAGAATGACTTCAGTGAAGTACCTGGGTGTCACTATCAACAGCAATCTTCGTTGGTCTACACATATTTATAACTGCGTGGGAAAACTGAGACGCCCATCTTTTCAGTTACGCAAACTCAGGCAATTCCGAACCCAACAATCAATCCTGTCATCTTTTGTTAATCAATGCGTTTTACCCATTCTACTTTATTGCTCTCCAGTAGTGTCTCCCGGTCTTTTAAAACACGATTTCAAAACATTTCGCTGTGGTTTGGTGATAATCAGTCGTGCATCACTAATCCCACTTGATTTATCAATCACAGAACTCACTGATGGTCACATCAACTCTTCTTTTAAATTTGCTCACAAGATTCTAGATGACCCTCTTCATCCACTACACCCTGATCTTTCGTCTTGTCGTTCCCATCCGTCCACATGCTCCTCATTTCGACAGCTACCCTCTTGCATTAACATTTATAAAAATTCTCCTGTACCCTACCTGGCCCAAGTACTTACCAAAAATGAACAGGTATCAAATGAACTTCGTCAAATGCTTTGTACATAATACGCATATCACCGACCTTGTTTACCTTTTGTTTTTATTATTTTTATTTCATTCCGCGTGACGAACAGTGTACATTTTTAACTGAAATGTAAACATATATGCTTATACAAGTTACAAATACAATACAATACAATACAATACAATACTCATGTACTTTGCAACCAATCAGTCAATAATTGTTTACCATCACGAATCGCCAGAGCATATATTACTTTGAAAGTACTGATGCACAGTCCAAATGAGACTGAAATAGGAATTGAATAATACGGTCTCTCCCGGGAGTTCCTCATGAGACTGAAATAAACCTGAAACGCAATAGGGGTTAGCAGAGGGGTCCCGGCGGAACAAGAATAGTACGGTCAATCATCTCGCTGTTCAAATAGGGATACAACGATTACACATTTGATTGCTACAAACACTTCCCATTCATTGTTCACCAACAAATAACACCTCACAGTGTTCACTCGGTTCATGTACTAAAAATAAACTTTAACAAAAAGGAACCAGAAAAACTCCTACATCATTAAAAATCAATTCATTTAGCATTCTGATTATCTTTTGATGAATAAACTACTAAAATTGTATCTAAAAAAGAGGGAACGATAATTTTACTGGATAAAAATTATAATCTATGATGTAGATGTAAACTTATTTGAAGTGATCGAGCTTTTTGCACAATAAATCAAACATAAGATTTTGTAAGTGATTTTTAATAATACCATGGAACAAATTGCGGACTGTCATCATAATGGATCACATTAATAATCCCAATAACCAAGATGTATGTAAATAAATTTTAAAATTACACACCTGTAATGCATAAAAATGTATTACCACTGACCAATAATTGCATTGTTCATCCGAGGGGTAGACAAGGAGCGTTTACTTTTGATGGCATTTGGGTCCAATTGCAAATCCATAGACTGAGGGCACGTCCAGAAAGGACCCTGTACATTTGCACATAGTATTCCTAACAATGTCAAAGAGATACGTCACTCGTAAAGTAAGAAGTTATCGGCGATTTGCTTTTGTGAAGACTCTATACGTGAATTTAAAAATGACCTAAAGGAAGAGATTTATCAGACAGGTCCGTTATAAGATTTCATTTTTACAGAAACCTCAGTCGGTCGGTCTGCAGCTGATGTTTGACCATTTGAGGAGATAAAGATCCCTCCAGAATTCCCTCCTAGCAGCAGTTGTAGAGGAGTTGACTGAGGCTTCTTCCAAGTGGCGTCTGAATCGGGCTTTGGACACAGTGGTCATAATGTAGCGAGAAGGCGAGCTGGCTGGGAAAATCGTCTATTGATCCAATTAAAAAGTAAAAGGTGTATGCGTTCGATTATATACAATCAATTCTAGACCGCGTGGTGGGATGATTCATGCCTCTTTCTGTGGATCATTCCTTGTTGGTTTTGGTCCGCACTTGGCACGTACGTTGCCTCTTCTTTCGCGTGCCATTCCGGCTGGTTTGACCCGATCGCATCGCGCGATGCGTTGATCTACAGCTCCAACGTTGTGGCATTCGGTGGATCTCTTTCCCGTTAACTGCGGACTGTCTGTTGGGCTGTAATTGTTGATTCACTCGTTTCGGGTGGCAGTCAACATTGTCTCGCGAGGCACTTCTCGCCGCTGCATCTGCGCGTCTAGTCGGATGAGCCCCATTCTTGATTCGCCAGGACTATCTTTGTACCGCCTTCCATCATACTCGCCCCTCCCCTAAAATGATTGCTCTGGGTGTACCACCGCTCCAATTCTTTACCATTTACCCATCTCCCTTGAGGACCCTGAAAGATCCGAAAACTGACGTTCTACCTCTCCAGAACAATGAATGGCCCCATCCACCTCTGCTTGAACTTTCCGGCCCCCGAACCTGTTGTTTCGGGTCTGCCTTGGTTCTTAACTTTTACCAGCTGTCCCGGTACGAACGGTTGCGGTGGTACAATAAGGCCTACATGAATATCTTGCTATGTAGACACTAGATTCTTATGCTGTGCAGGATAATTACACAATTTGAGTTCAATTTGATTCCGTTTTTATTAAAAATGGAAGTTTCATTGAAAGCCATTCAATGAAGCCCAAATAGGACTCAAAAGCCACTTTCGTGGCATTTGAATACAGTATGGATAGGATTGAAAGAGGACACAAAGAAACGACTGTCTGAAATAACTTTAATAATTGCGTTACAATTTATCGTCCAACAATCACACTGGCTCATTTGGCTACTGCCAAATATGACCTGTTTGGAACCGATATTAAGCCAATTCCTTACAACCTTTTCACTTGAAAAGCGTATTTCAATCACAGTATAAATTAAAAGAAAACAGTAAATACCATTTAAAACACAAAATATGCTTGCAATGATGCAAGTAAATATATGTGTAAATCCGGTTGAAATGAATACAAATCGTTTAGTTTTTCAACGGGGAGTTCTGTTTGCTGTGTTCCTGCCGGTGTACGTTCTGTCGTATCGTTTTCTTCCTACTTACTGTACTACATAAAATCTTGCAGTGGGTGAATAACCATATAAAATATCAGACAGACAAAAGAATCTCTCTGGCAGTGTAAGTAAATTCAGTTTTGTTGTTTTATCAGTTTGATCGAACTCCATGCCAATAAATGCACGGGTGTATGCATGGAATACTTCAAATAATTGGGCGCGATGCTGCTCTCAGCGCTGACGAGATAATTTACCTATCGGATGAATACGTGAATATGAAAGTAATAAAATGAATCATTTTGTGGACCTTCAGGTTCAATTTGTTAAACTGAAATCACATGATGATACCTCATAATTTTCCGAGGTCTCAGGCAGAATTACCTCTTCAAGAATAGCAAACTCCATCCCATTGAGAAAAAATAACAAAATTCATCGAAATTCCGCAAAAATGTACACGATTGAGCTAATTGCCATATATTGTTACTGTTTATCGGTTTCGGAAGGAGTCTTAATGAATTAAGCAAAAGTTAACTGGCTCAAAGTCGTCTTTATACAAACAATCGAGGAGAAACATACAGGTTGTACCCAGGCTTGATACATTATGACTGACTACGCTCACAAAACAAAAAATGATCTTGCCTTCCACAAAATATGACTTAAATAGGCGATTATATTTTATTTATGCATAAAAAGAGTCTGCATTTACAACGGCATGATTTTATTTGATTATTGCAATAAGTTTCAATCATTTATGCACAGTTCTAACGGGGCCGGAATGGGAGTTTTGACCGTTTATCTGTACTGACAGGGGTTGAATATCAACAAAGAGGAAACCTGCTATTTGTTTAAAACAACAGAGATCAAAGACTCTGGTTCCCTCGAAAGTTTTACTCCACCGTATCAAAATAGAGTTGAGGAAGAGACAACAGCACTTCCTTGCGGATTTTCACCTCACAAGTTGTGTCTTTCGAGACACAGCATTTTGTCTACTCCACATAGAAGGTGTACCAGAATAGCGGTGAGAGATGCTGACGGCAGTGATCAGCTAAACTGTGCCTCAAGATGATCCACTCAGAGTAAAGAAGACCGAGGTTTATCTTGAACAGGCTGGCCATCAGCATCAAAGATAGTTTCACGCACACCTAGATTCAGAAAAGCACCGGCTTTTAGGAGCATCACAAAAGTTCTTAACTATGTGCTTTTACGGTCACTAAAGATTTTAGCGTGAAGTTAAAAAGGCTTGTGCTTCAAAGGAAACATTACAGTTAATGATGTTCTAATCACCATTAACCTTAACAAAACGACTTGTTCCTTCCGATAGCACTATGCATTCAAGTGTCATAAATACTGCACATTTTATGTTGCAAAACTATCTGAATCATTTGCTTGAGTACATGGTAATTACCTGGTTTGAGAAAGTGGTAATCATGTGTTTTGGTGCTTCTTCTTTCACTTACTATCTTGTAGAAAAAACGCTGTGGAAAAGAGTTCATGTAGTGTGGATGAAGGTTCAGAACGTATACAAAAGGCTGGGTTTTTATTCCATAAATTAAGATATCAATGTTGCTTTCGCACTATAGGGGTCTATTGTATGTTGTGGCAGTTTGGCTAGCTCTACTCTACGGTGCAGAGGCTTGGCTATAACGGTGTTTGAGTACCGCTGTCTGATGGAGGCAAACGGTGGAATAGTGGTGAAGTTGGGGAAGATTCTTAGGGAACTACGGTCGCTTATTGCAGTAAGCGATCGATATCCATAGATATGAAAACCTTTCACAGGCCTTATGCATATGGGATAATGAAAAAAAACTGAAAATCATTGCTTATGTCAGTGCCATAATGGTTATTCATTCTTTCTGTAGCGTGTGAACACATGTGAACACATCGGTAATGCAAAATGCCAAGAAGTGTCAGTGACTCAAGCCTTGCGCGAGATCCATACCTACTGGAATATTATAAGAGAAACTACTCGTTTGCCTCAAATTCGGACAAGAATAAAAAGAAGACAGAGGGAAAAACTTGCTGTGGACACCGATCTTGTCATTTGGACCGTTTTAATCTGCTCAGCAATGCAAAGACCGTTCCCGTGAGACCATTTACACTGTACAAAGTGCTCGTTACCACTGCAGATGTGTCCAACGCTGGTACATCAGCCAATGTAAGTGTTCTGAATCTACGGTGAATCTATTTTTGAAATTCTCTTCGCAGATATATATTACACTAAAAGGAGATTGGGGCGCATCTATCCGTCAGAAATTAAAAAAATTGCGCAATAAACCATGTAAAAATAAAAGATTCAAATTCGAAGCCGGATCGACACACACATTTTACGTTGTTTCACCGGACCTCGGTAACATAAAGTCCGTGGTCATTGAGGTACGTTTCGATACTGCCTAGGTTATAGTCTTTTATTAAAACATTTGAAATGAAATGTTCAGTTCAATTCAGTTCTTACAACCATTAACCATGCACTTTCGTGCGCGTTTTGATTGCTGCCTTTTGG